CAGTAAATCACCTACAAACTGAAAGTGACATTGTCGCCTCTAACCTGACGCTGACAACGTTTCACATTAACAGCAATGGCATAGTCCAGAGTGATATTCCTGGTTTTTATGTTCTCTTCTATTTTTCTCGGTTCATTTGTCGATCTTTTCTGTAAGACGTACTGTTTATCATGCTGCAGGGACACCTTTGTTGTGCCACCTATACTTTCGATTCGCAGTCTGCGATCCTTGTTGCTCACTACAACAACCATCAGTTTTTAACCTCTTACTAATAAGTGGTCAAAATGAATCATGATTTCTTCCTCATCGTTACATTTCTGTACATTTGGTGTCGCTGCGAATCAGAAGTGGGGAAGTGTGCTGTTCTGTGTACCCCGTTTCAGACCTGTAAATGAGGTGCTTGTTAGGGCGGTTCGGTGCGAGAAGGTGGCTTTGAGTGAAGTCTTTTAAGAGTGTGGCGTTGGCTGTGGCGGGTGCTGTCGACGGAGATGAGCGATGAGACGTGAGGCCGCTGGGCGGTCATCGAGTGTAGATGACGCAGCAGGTCGCTGGTACGCAGGTGTTGAACGTCCAGTGTGTTGAATGTCTGTCGAATTTTGATGGCCGGGTAGTCGACGGTATATGGAGGTCATCGCACCGCAGACTCAACATTTTGACGTAGAGCGTGGCACAAACTGCAAAAAAGATGAAAGTAGCTCGGTGAGCAGAACCATATCAAGAACGACTGCCATAAAGGGGGTAAGAGTGTGGTGTTTGCCACTGATGTCGACTGGCATAAGTAGTATGTATCATCAATCGAAAGCGAAGTGTCTGGAGGCAGAAGGTCAAGGAAATCAAAGAAAAGAGGACGACGACATAGAGTGACTGGTGTGGAAACGAAAGAGCAATGAAGTCTGAGACGATTAATTGACATTTTGCAAATGAAGTATTTGCTGCATGGTTCTCAGATTTTACTTAGATGTTTCGTAATTTTGTGTTCATATACATTCGATTGTCCCCACTTATGTTCTCGTTCACTGCTGCTATAAGGAGCTTTAAATTCAACCAACATGTCCACCATACTTTTAAGCACAACGACAGATCCAAAACTTCTCGGCTTATGATTAATCGCTATTTCCAAATCAGTTGGTGTCACCTCCATTCAACTTGTCTGCAATTGACTTCTAGGATAGTTGTATGTCTCAAGTCGAATATATGCTCTATTAAGGATGAGTAAAGGTCAAGCATGCTGGTATTGAATTCCTGACGAACAACAGAAGATACGGAAATTATGTAAAGCGTTCGGGTCTCTCAACATTGACTCAGAGAATGAAAAGTTGACTCAGGTTTTACGTCACTTATGAAATGCACGAAGTGGACAGACATATATGTACTCCCATACGCATAAGCTTAAGACATTCTCAGGGTTATTCGTGAGTAACCGACGGGGCAAAATATATAATTAATAATCTATTATCAAAAACCACAAGTTACATGAGGTATGCTACTTTACAGGCAAGATCAAAGTTTTACAAAAAGTACATTATTTATTACGTTCAGCTCATTTGCCCAGTTTCTTTGATGTGTTATAACAAAATGTTAGTGCACAAATAGACGAATGCTGAATTCAGACTGAATTGTAAGGAGGAAAATATGGCACATCATATGAATTCCGCGTTGCCAAAATGAACTGTTGAATGTATATATCGCAGTCGCCTTCTTCTCGACAGCAGAGAAGCTTTCGCTCAACGACCTTTTTCGACACATCGTTTACCAAACATAAAATTTTGCATACATTTTGGTATTTACCGCTACTTCTTTCCAGGTAATTAATAAAACGGCTTTTACTTTAGAAAGAATAGTTAAAAACGTTGATATAACTCATCTATCCAAAAGTTAGAAACGTGGAACAGTGCTATCACTAGCTGAGAACCTCAGTCAAACTTTTATACTTTCTGTAACGAGAATAAAATTCCCCAGTAATGTTTCTTGAACCGCATTGTTACTTTATTTGTTCTTTTTCCTTATGTGGCATTTTAACTTTTACTCGAGTTTCCTGCAACCACGTCTTATAATATTCAGGCCAATTTTGTCTGGGATTTTATTGCTCAACAGTAGTTTAGAATTTACATTTGTGACTGAATTCTACTGCTGTGTGCTACCGCGCCATTGATAACTGTGACGCGTTTGACTAAACTAAAAGGTATTGCGTGATTCAGTTGGTGATTGTTGAGGTTTGGCTGTCTGTTGAGAAAAATTAGTCGAATTCTTGAAGGGAGATATTTGGTCTCATCGAGTTATAAATACTCTTGCTGATTCTTTGGTACCAAACACTTAATTCTGAAAATTCTTTGTTGAGGAGACCCATAAAATTCCTCGAAAATAGTTCAAAGGGGCCCTGAAACCTCGGAAACATTCTATCTATTCAGCAATGAATATAAGTTTCTCAGGAATATCTAGAAAGTGGAGAGTCAGCTGTCGCACTTCTGACTGGATGAATAATTATCCCGCCAATGTCCTAAGAAGGGTTCCAGAACTTTCAAGAAGCCCAAAACCATCTGAAATACTATAAGTACCCTTCTGCACGTAAATTAACCTTGAAGTGGAGCGCTCTTTTCAGTCTAACGATATATCATTCTTTCTGCTGTTCATCGCGTCATTCAGTGTAAGAGAAACCTTTGACTAAACAGCACAAGCTGTACCGTTCTGAGATATTTTCTACTTTTGATATTTGTTCACTTTCCTAAATCAAAACCGTTTAAATCGTGGAAAGTGTTCGCGTGTTTACATGATTTAACACGAGTTATTCAAAAACGCCTCGTACGCTATGCAGTTTGTTCTAATCGAATAAAACTCGGCTTCTCAGTTCTGCATTCACATCAAATACTAAGATTTCTGTCGTTACACTACCTACTACACACATTGTTTGGCATCACTAATTTGTTTAGACACTCATGTATCTTCATCTGAATGACTAAGTTATATGATCTCCAGTTATCAGAATTACGTCCCTCACTTTGTGTTAAACAATCTCTTCGTTGCCAAGTTTGATTGTGGGATACCTTGCCTACTATACTAGTCCTATAGAACCATAACGAACGCGAAATTTGTGCTTTATTTGGAATTTACCACTAATAGTAAACGACACTTCTGTTGAATGTGAGGAGCTATTTGATAGTGGACGGTCCTGAACGATTTAACTCTGAACTAGTTGACTTCATTTTGCGATTCCGCACGTCCACAATTTTAATTCTGTTGAGTCTTAAGTACACGGAATGGAAATATATCTCCTTATCTGCACTTGTGATAGAGCGATCATTATAATGTGCATGGACAGAAAATAGACAGTAAAACACATCGTTTCTGAGACGAATAGATGATTTTCTTCATCTTTAACTCTAGCCGCACCCATTTCAATGCCAGCTGGGAAACCCATCAATCGTGCCCCGCCCTACATAACATATTTTCCAGAATTAGACGACAAATATGCATGAAGTGATGCTTATGTTTGTTATGAGGAACCCAAATGATTTATTCATTAATAGTTTTCTGTTATCAAATAAACTCAACATTTTAACATTAAGTGAGCAATGTATAATAATTTATCTTGTATTTTAATAAATTCATTTACGATATTAGGATTATTGACTGAAAATGAGTTTTGAATTATGACTCCTGTGAAAGCGAGAAAAGAAGCGTCAATGAACGACACAGATCGTCGCATATATATATATATATATTTCAGTTAGCAAACTTTAAAGATTTCTCATATATATCACCAAGCAACGAATTGAATTTTACAAGACACCTGCCTAATAGTTACGAAGCTACGATGAAACACTTCCAATATTATTGACTAACCATTCTTAAAAATTCATTTTCTACAGCTTTGCATCGATCCCGTCAACTTTCTTACTGGTGTGTCTGAAATAAGAGTCAGTCGAAGGACATTTGTCGTTTCTAAGAATGTTTTCTTTTCACAGATTGAACTCATGAGTCTTTGTTTCAATTTGATATCAGTCACTCAGTCGATGATAAAAGGTCATCCGTCATTTGATAATTTTAATTCAACTGATGTTTATGTTTTTGCAAATCTGTGATAATCAGGAGTATTTGAATTATAGTATGAACTAAGAATCCCAGGAATAATGTAATCGGATCAAGAAGTACTAGATAACCACAAACGAATGTACTGTATTTAGAATTCGAAATCAAGCATTCAACAAGTACAAAGGAATCATTAGTTCATTCAAACACCACAAAACCTTCAGCACGGCTGTTGCTTATACATGAAATATTAAGCTGAACAAATCAACGATTACGTAAACATTCACTTTTTGAAGACAATATAAGTTTGGGAATACACAAGTTGTGCTCAGTCAGTCGGTTGTCAATCACTCTTTTCATCTTCTTTCTTGGGTCACAATAGGGAGTGAATAAATTAAAGGATTAGCCCATTGTCTAATTTTCACCTCAATATGATATTTCAGCATTTATTGTTTATTGTAATTAGGTTTATCTTTGTCAACTTGTTGTAAAAACCTACTTCTCCATTGTTCTATTTTCAAGTTAAACAAATATTCAATATAAATTTTAATCACCCTGTTTCATTGTTTTTTCTCATTATCCTATTGTGACCATGACCCATTTATTAGTTAAATAATGGACTGACGTTCTTCATGAAAAGAAGAGTTTGCTAAAATAAGCCACAGACATTCAACAAAGTTTTTGTTAACAATCATTACAAACAATCCAATCGGACAACAAATATAGGATAGAAGAGTAAAACATCACATTTGTGTAAAATATTTTCTATCTCTAGAAGATATTTGAATAGAAAGTTCATTTTGTGGAAAGGATGTATTGTTTAATTATATTGACTGGTAGTTTTACAATTTCATTAAACTTTAAACAACTTGATAAAAATAACAAACTAATAAAATTGTAATCACTTTACAGTATACAGAGTCAAAACCATAGTAACCTGTGATATAAGTATTATTCAAAACTGTAAAAAGTTGCTAATCGACAGAATTCCAGCGTAGTTTACGACCAACACAAGCATCGTTCCACCATTTCGAAACATTTGGGAATGTATACGATTTCAGTTTATGAGCGGTATGTGCCAATAAGCATATAGCGCATTGAGGCAATGGAAACCAAACATCTATGGTCCCATGCTCATACCATGAGAAGTACTCATTGTACGCAGTATCGTTTCTGTCCAAATACTTCAAATAATTGGCAAGCTTTTCTGGGGATTCAAACTGATCCACATGAATAAATGAATGAGGAGGAGCGACACGCTTGTATTCTTCATATGAGGCACCCATCACAACTGGAATTACACTGTTGCTATGTTATTTAAACAAACCAGATACAATAGTTGAATGCTTTAGTGAGGTGATGGAAATGACAAATGAAATGAGAGAAAATAAATTATTCATCACAAATAATTGAACTTAACCACCCTGATCTATCTTTTGAAAATGAGTGATATGTTACAGTCTATTAAAATCGTGGGGAGAGAGCGCCATAAGAGTTCATCATTTGTGTGTGGGCTGTGATACTGCCCGGGTGCCCAAACCGAAGCAGGCAGTTATCTTAGGGGGCTCTACGAATATTTAGTACAGCTCTAAATTAATTTGTTCGATGAGAGTTAGTAGAGAAGCAGCAAATGATATAGTATGTTCATCAAATGCCACGTCAAACACAGAGATGATACACTGCAGCTATAAACTGGAGGATGTTGGAAATGTAGTAAACAATTAATAAAATTATTAAAATTTCATTGTTTACCTACATTAATGCATTTCTGTAAAGCTTTTCCGTAATATAATCAGGGCATAAACTGTTTTCAAAACTCAGGTAGAATTTATAATGCTTTCCGAGTAGAGTAAAACATTGAGAATCTACTTCTCTAGGACATGTCATATTGCCACACCGACCATAAATATCAACCTATGAAATAAATCAAAGAAAAGCAGTTTATTTCTTTAGCATTGAAAGGAACCTGGTAATTACGAAATAAGTAATAAACAGAAATATTTTGCAACCGGATGTCAGACTACGTTATGGAAACTAGTCGACTATAACGACCACGAACATTGTTACACAAAATCAAGTTGAAAAGATCGAGATCATCACTACCATGAACATCGCTTTTCAGATTTATTAACACGTCAGACAACAGAAAATTGGAATTTAATGACGAAGCCGAAATCCTAGTTTCATACTTTGTCGATATTATATTACGTTCATAATATATACTGAAAACAATCACTAAAGTGTGTAAATTCACATAATTTCCACACACATTGGCTCAATAACAGTCCATATGGCAAATAAAAATTGTCGTGAAAGTCACTTAATAACAGTTATTATTTATGGTGTAGCATTTGATGAACTTTAGATCCAGTAAATAGAATCAATCATAGATGAATGTTATAGTAAATCCTAAACAGTCAATGGCAAGTTCAAAGCATAATGAACTGATAAGATTCAAAATTATAAATAAATTGCAACAGACTCGTACTCACTTAGTCTCATTCTTGTCTGAACCAATTTAAGGCCCAACTTCCGTTTGAGTACTAAATGTTTTACTCACTATACTAATAATTATTTTGATGAATGAAATACTAATTATTAAAGCAATGAGTTATTTATAAAATTTAGTTGAACAACGAGATTAACCCTGTCTTCTCACTGTTCAATTAGCTTTTACTCACACCATTTTTATATACATGGGACATGCTGTATGTCTGTGTGATCATACTATTCTTGGACTAAACAAACTGACGAAAATCTCTACAATAATTTAACCAACAAGGCAAATTTATACTCCATCCACTTCCTAACTTGTGCTTTGATCTGATGAGAATGTTTACCTGAAATACAACACTAAAACATTTCATATTGGACTTAAAGTCCTGTTGTCGTTTGAACTTGTTATGTACTGGGACCATTGTAGGCAAACATATGAAATAAAATCGGTAACTATATAATCTGGGTTCTCACTTGAATATAACGAGATAATTCTTTTACATACATCATTCTCGGACCTTTAGGTTGACAGTTGCTTACAAACCATGCTACCATTTTAGATTTACCAGTGGCATAGTTATGGGAAGGGAGTACGTATTTTGTATCTGGACCATGACTAGCAACAAATGGGATATAATTGTGATACGGTAAATAAATTGTTGAATCCATTCGATAAGAGATTGTGTAGTTGACCTGAGTGAAAAACACCAAAATATGCTAAACATTTAGATATGTGAAGAATAATTTTAAAATGCCAATAGGAAAAATATTTACACAGTCTACACAGTCTACTGGTAACTACTAAATCGAGAGCTGATGTTTTCGAGTAAGTGATTGTTTTCGGTATCCTTTGAAAAAGAATTAAGCCGAGTCAAACCGAAACATTTTATCGAACTATAAGCCCTCATGTTTCATGAATGCATGTTCTCTTGCATCGAGTCGTTTGTGTCAGTGCATGATTTCTAATTAGCGAAAATATATTGCAATAATCAGGATAAACTTAATCGATTATACACATCGTCATTAAGAAGCAGTCATGAAGCTACGAAGTAAATACTACCAAACCTTACCATTGTCAGTTCAGTGTTTTTTATAGACAGTTGCATATAATACGATTTCATTAGGGTCTATTTTTAAATAAAGTAAAATACATATATGTTTGTTACTGCAATGTCTCAGGAGATATATGTTCATGTAGACGACTGTACATTTCATAATATTATTGACATTATTCTTGACGTAATACTGTTTTACCGAAAAATATTCAGTTAAAGTTTGCGCGACTAGGTAATTGTTAGATAACGCGTCTAAAAATGGGATTCAGTTAAAATATCAACCAATACAAATTACACACTTTTGAATTTACATGCCTAATAGTGGCACATGTATAAAGTAACAATAAACCATTGGGTGTTGATAAATATTTGGGACATCACAATGAGATATTCGTTCAAGTTAATCACTGAGTTGTTTAGGCTTCTTTGGTTTCCGAACTTATCCTCAGTTTGAAAATATTGTTCTGTTTTGATTTCCAGGATATGACTAAACCCTTGAACTTATTTATAGATCAAGTGTTATTTATCTCGAGGCCTTACTGTTACCAACCCTCCTATTTCCCCCATCTTATTGAGTGGTTTGTTTGACTAACCAAAACTTTCTAATAGATGAGAAACAGTCTAGGGTATTTGATAAACTGTCTAGATACAGGATTTTTACGTAATTCCAGGATTGTAAATACAGAATATCTAGTTGGTCATTTGAAATGAGCTTTCACATAAAATTTTATAATGATATGATTTTCTGCATAAATGGGCTGAAGTTGAATTGTTTCATTCTAGTCAGTGAATAAACAAGTAGAAACTCATTATTACTAAATAATGTCCTATTGTTCTAAACTAATGACTCACTATATATTTTGAGTTACAAATAATAAATAACAAATGTTGAACAAACCACCTTATGCTAAAAACCATACTTGGATGTTTCATCTAATATTCCACTTTTAATGAATTTGTTGATAAATTCTACTTAATAGGAGTCAATGCAGGTTTTAGAGGCCGTTCACATGCAATTGACGAAACTAGAAGACGTATTGATGAATGCTTTCACATTTCCCAATATCTGAAGCAAGGCGAAAGTTTTTTCAACTCACTTTATTTTCCAATCCATCAGCGATTCTGATGTATGGGGGAGGTTCATGTACAAAAATGAACCATAGTTGATTTGGTGGTCTTGGACCTTTAGGATACAAGTGATCTGTCAAGATTATAACATCGGCTTCAAGCCATCTTGATCTGTCGAAAATCAGTTCACAATCACAAGCGAAACAGAAGGAGAAGTTTCGAATAATATTGATGCGAAGGTTTCCATAGTTGAGAATTATTTTTCTCTGCAAAATACAATTAACCGAAGAGATACTTTAATCGAATAAGCGAATGCTATACAGAACGATAGAATTTTAGTGATAATATCTACAGCAGACTTTTAAATATCCGTAAACATTAGTAAGTACTGGTCATTATTTTCATTTAGATAGAATTAAAAGTTCTGAGTGCACGACATGTCTGACAACAATACACAGTCCATCGACTTTATTTCTAAAGAAATTCACTTAACAATTATGACTTATGAGGTATGATAAATAGAAGTTTAGTACGGTGTCGTATTATTATCTGTTTTTCTCTTTCAATCTCAATGAAAACGGAACTTACTGTAGTAACTTTCTAAATAAGTATATTGATTTTTTGTTTATCTTCACTAGCTTAGAACTGAACTAAAATCGTTGGCCTCACAATTCCATTCCATTCAAAACTTGACTTAAGGCAACGCTGCATATTAGTCATTCCAGCTTCTGCAAACTATTCTAAATTCACAAACTAGATTACGAAAAATCCATTTGTCTTAAAATTGGCTACATCTTTTGAATAATAAAGCGGTTGTATAAATGTAGAGCTTGATTACAAGTTATTATAAAGAATATTCTACATTTGTATTTTCTTGTGGTAAAAGACTACTGCAGACCGCTGTTAATTTGATTATTTTTGTGGGAGAGACCTTTAGATTGCACTTCCAAGAGTATGAAGATTCTTTGTATTGATACCTATTTTATTATGAATTATGAAAACTTGTAAACTCTCTGAAATCTAATGACTTGAATGAAGCCTAGAATATTGAATGGTGTTGAAATCCCAACAATATGTGACGCTATTTCGACGATTGAAGCTGGGATGTCAACTTAGTTTAATGCCTCCTAACCTTATATTATTTACTGCTAATATAGTTTTAGTTCAATTGAAATTGTGTCCAACTCTAATTGGTTAGACAGACACAGAAATCTCTTTCTCATAATAATGCCGACTAAACAACCAGAACATCAGTACAACTTGAATGTTTTCAACATCATAATTAGGTGGAAAAAAGTAGTCTGAAATAACAATATCGTGAGTAATTCATTCTTATTATTAAGTAAAAATAGGGTCAGAGTGATTATGATACAATGTATAGAACAAAATGAGAAGTTCTGTCAACTGAAGCAATTACTATCAAAATCTAGTAGAAGAGTCATTCTAAGAAACTCACGGCAGCTGGAGTGGAATTCCTTTCATACAATTCTTCAAGATCTTTCTCAGTAAATCCGAGTGTAATTTTATTTTCATACTTCTTCATTTGTGATGCAGTATAATAGGTCTGATTTAAATTACCTACTGAACTTGAGTAAGTTTCACGTGGTAATTCATTGAAGGAGAAACCATCATCATTTCGTGATAAGCCGAATTGTTCCTCCCATTTGAATTGAAATAGTAATTTTGTCAGTTGATAACTTGTACATACAAGGACTGCAAGTTGAACTGCCAGTACAACTAAACGCCTAAAACGTCTCATGAGGAAATGGAATTGACAAAATGCCTGATTCAATACTTTGTAATTAACACAAAACTGGATCTGTTAATGAGAAGTACCTTATCAAACGAAGTTAAAGAAAGATTATCAAAGTGAGAATACTAAACATAGATGTAAGTGCTTTTAACGTCTACCAAATAGTTTTAATCTACAGGTGGTCTACAGGTTAGGCACACGTGCGCATGACCGAATGTTCTGGGTTCGATATCCTGTGAAACTCCGTGTTAAAATAATAACTGGCATTAGTTTCTTATTTCATGAGTATCGCTGAATCATCTTCACGTAAGGTATGATAATTAGTCAACATGAATTCACCCGATGTATTAGAGTTTTACGTGAAGTGAATTCAGGATCACAACAATGGGATCTCTATTTGAATTTCCGAAAATCAAATGGTGCTAGTCTTTTTCACTCATATCCTCGAGGCTTTAAGTTTAGATGTCATAATCTTCCGGAAATCATTATAGCTTCCAAATGGAGCTGGTAGTCCATAAGAAAAATTGTAACCAACAGAGATAGAGATGTTCTTACAAAGCTAACGGTAATCTACTGAAATCAATTTTATGTAGACGTTTCCACGCAATTTAAAAATTTATGAAATAAGTCATAAATAAATTACAACGGACTTGTTAATTATGTAATTAACTCTATTAACAGAATCTGAACAAATACCATAGGAAACCCAAATGTACTTTGAAGCATTTGTGCAACTGATGGTTATTCTCTTCCGATATATTTTCCAAAATATTTCATCTCTTAACAGTTTATGTTATCTGAGGTCTCTTCTTTCGAAAAGATGATTCATTTGCACTCAACTGTTTATCTGGATGTATGAAATATATTAACTCCGCCTGGAGTCCCTCCGGGGGCTACTGCCGGTCCCAAGCCCGGATAAAGGAGGAGGGTTGGGCATGGGGTTAGCGTCCCCATCCCGTAGAAAACTAACTCGCTAAAAATACGCTAACCAGAAAAAAATATTCAAACCATTTAAACTCTGCCCTGGGAGTCAGAAGGTCTTCATTTAGAAGAATTATGATGCCTCATGATGAAAGCCGAATCTCTTCGGAAGTTACGAGGCCGATGCTCCTTCTAACAACCAGAGCAACCATTTATTTAGGTACATGGAATATTCGTACAATGTGGGACACCGGAAGAGCCTTCCAGATTGCTGCAGAAATGAGAAGATACAACCTAGAGGTACTTGGGATCAGTGAAACACATTGGACACAAGTTGGACAACAACGACTAACTACAGGAGAGCTCCTGTTATACTCCGGCCATGAAGAAGAAAATGCACCACATACACAAGGAGTTGCATTGATGCTGTCCAAACAAGCACAAAATGCGCTTATAGGATGGGAATCTCATGGACCAAGGATCATCAAAGCCTCCTTCAAAACAAAGAAAGAGGGCATTTCAATGAACGTCAGCCAATGCTTCAAAGAACACTTCAAAGAACTCTTGAATCGACCAGCTTCACTGAACCCACCCAACATCGAAGCAGCACCCACGGACCTCCCAATCAATGTTGACCCACCAACAATTGAAGAAATCAGCATGGCCATCAGACAAATCAAGAGTGGCAAAGCAGCAGGACCGGACAACTTCCCAGTAGAGGCACTAAAAGCAGACGTAGTGGCAAATGCACGGATACTCCACATTCTCTTCAATAAGATTTGGGATGAGGAACAAGTACCAACAAACTGGAAAGAAGGACTTGATGAGACCCGTTGACCTGACTCCATTTAGAGTGTACGAGTGTTTGCTATCACCTATTCTCATTTATCATCGTCGACTTAGATCGCGTTAGTCCATAACGGAATTAAATAAGTCAATTAACGAGAATGGCATTTGAATACATATATTTTGTATATGAAGTGAATGAAACATAGCCAAGCAAAAATGACGCACAGGGAGGATGGCTGGGAAGCCAACTCCAATTCAAGCCGAACATTACTCAATATTTATAGGCAGACAAAATGAACTACAGACATGTGATGAGTCATGGGACATCAAGTGTACATACATATACGCTCACATGAATACAGTCAAGGCTAACAAGCGAATAATTAACAAGGTCAAAACATGACTCAAGTAGAATGAGTAGAATGGAATGTCCGGAAACTAGAATAAGATATACTATGGGCTAAAACGAATGACTAACACTACAGACTACTGATCAAAATACCGAAGAAAGGCGATCTCAGCAAGTGTGATAACCAGAGGGGCATCACTCTTCTCTCAATACCGAGAAAAGTCTTCAACAGGGTATTGTTAAACAAAATGAAGGACTGCGTAGACGCCCAACTTCGAGACCAACAGGCAGGATTCCGTAAGGATAGATCGTGTACAGACCAAATCGCAACTCTACGAATCATTGTGGAACAATCAATTGAATGGAATTCATCACTCTACATCAACTTCATTGACTACGAAAAGGCATTTGATAGCGTGGACAGAACAACACTATGGAAACTTCTTCGACACTACGGCGTGCCTCAGAAGATAGTCAATATCATACAGAACTCATATGATGGATTACACTGCGAAATCGTGCATGGAGGACAGTTGACAAAGTCGTTCGAAGTGAAGACCGGTGTCAGGCAAGGTTGCTTACTCTCACCGTTTCTCTTTCTCCTGGTGATCGACTGGATCATGAAAACGTCAACGTCCGAAGGAAAGCGCGGGATACAATGGACATCTAAGATGCAGTTGGATGATCTAGACTTCGCAGACGTTCTGGCCCTTCTATCCCAAACGCAACAACAGATGCAGGAGAAGACGAACAGTGTGGCAGCAGCCTCAGCAGCAATAGGTCTCAATATACACAAAGGGAAAAGCAGGATTCTCCGATACAACACAGAATGCACCAATCCAATCAAAATTGACGGAGAACATTTGGAAGATGTAAAAACCTTTACGTATTTGGGCAGCATCATTGATGAACAGGGTGGATCTGATGCAGATGTGAAGGCGCGGATCGGCAAAGCAAGAGCAGCATATTTACAACTGAGGAACATCTGGAACTCAAAGCAACTGTCAACCAACATCAAGGTCAGAATTTTCAATACAAATGTCAAGACAGTTCTACTGTATGGGGCAGAAACCTGGAGAACTACAAAAGCCATCATCCAGAAAATACAGGTGTTTATTAACAATTGTCTACGCAAAATACTTCAGATCCATTGGCCGGACACTATTAGCAACAACGTACTGTGGGAGAGAATAAACCAGATCCCAGAGGAGGAAGAAATCAGGAAGAAGCGCTGGAAGTGGATAGGACACACATTGAGGAAAGCACCCAACTGTGTCACAAGACAAGCCCTCACATGGAATCCTGAAGGTCAAAGGAAAAGAGGAAGACCAAAGAACACATTACGCCGAGAAATGGAGATAGACATGAGAAAAATGAAGAAGAATTGGATGTAACTAGAAAAGAAGGCAGAGTGGGACAGAGTGGGTTGGAGAATGCTGGTCAGCGGCCTATGCTCCATTGGGAGTAACAGGCGTAAGTAAGTAAGTAAGTAATGAAATATATTCAAACCAAATTTCAATTCTCCTTGATAAAAATGAATAGTGTTGTCCAAATTGAATTACAATAGTTGTGAAAAACAGACTAATTGGTAAATTAAACATACCTGTTATTTTGTAGTGAACCCATTGAACTATTGTATTATTTGTTCACTACAATGTAATTGAAACATTTAATCCAGTATATAAATTAATGTCTGCTTATCAATATTCATTTATTCTCTCATTGGTTGTAAATACAAACAATCAGTAATTTATTTACAACCAATCAACACTCGTAAATATACATGGATTCCCAACACTCACACACCCAGGTCATTCGATTCTATGTGTGCGTGTTTTCTGCAAGCCTGTGGAATTTTGATGATCATTAACAATAAACTATCTCCACAACTGGTGTTCAGGCTTTTGAATAATCTTGAGATTTAGCCTACATAATTACTCAGCTAACGGGATGTTATTTATTGCAGTCAGATATAGCGTGATTAACCTCCACGGTTTCACAAATTCCCAAAATGATTACAATTTCAGTAGATCTTCTAATAGTAATCATATACAATCGGTAATCGGGATTAGTCAGATATTTCCAAAGTAAATTTAATGAGAACACATCTACTCTCTTACTAAAGAAGCAGATATTTACTTTAATTCAACAATATTAGTAGTAATAACAGTCAAATAACAACTTTCCTATCACTGGAAATACTTCGTTTCATTTATTTATAGGTATTACAGTATCGAATGTGTTACGAATATTTCCCAAGCGATTAAAACGACTGACAAACTAGGTATCAGTATGGCCCTCAGATAAACTATCCTTTTCTTTACCGACATAATATCTCGTCAAAAGCATATAGCAAACTTCAGTTGGCAAATTTGAATTTCTCGAAATATTTTAGTTAGCATATACTGAACGCTTCCTCTGGTTTCATAAATATGTAGGATCTGAAGAACATCTCTGAACACTACACAAATGATCTCCTCAGCTGAAAGTGAGGCCGTCTTGGAAGATTATTTACTAGATATTTAATTGTTTACTGACCTTTCCTAAATACAAGGAAGAATAACGTGGACTGATTGATTGACGACATGTAGCAGTTCATTCATCAGCTATGTGTATCACCTGTCTTCAATCGAATATATCATCTTTCTGGTAATTTTGTATACGTTTTCTAGATGTTTTATGAAAATACGATAGCCTGGCTGTCAATTTGTAACAGGCTAGGTGAATTCCTTAACAACAATCCTTACTTAAACACATATAAATTGAAGAGAGAAGTATCAGGAAGAAGCAAATATGCCCATAAACCTGGATAAAACTATCAAGATATCCATTATTCCACTATCTAAAAACGAAAGCTTGCATAAATGTTAATAGCATAGGCTAGTAGTGTCTGTCTGTTAAATAAATTAGTTGAGGTGTTTGACACAATTAACCGTAGACAAATTTA